CGGCCCGGGCCGCCGGCTCCCCCTTCCCGGCGCTGCTGGGGAGCAGCTGGGGGGCTCCTGCGGGAGCCACACACCGTTCTTTGAAGCCACCTCCGGTGCCTGCCTGGTGCTGGCCCCGTGCTGGCCCCGTGCTGGCCCGGGGCGGCCCGGGCCGCCGTCTTTACCTGCATAAACTGCTGCGGGGAGGGCCCCTGAGTTCAAATCGGAGGCTGACATGTCACTGCCGAGGGCGCTTTCTGGTGTCCAGGCGGGGGCCTGTGCCCTAGCGGCCCTATCCTCATGTGAGGGACAAGGCCTCCCTTTGCCCGCAGTCGGGAGCGGGCTGGCGGGAGCAGCTGTGGGGAGAGGGGGGGTGGGGAGAGGTGGGGCTGGGCCTGGCCTCAGGCCGGACAGCCCTTCTCCGTGGGCCCGTGCCCAGGCCGAGCACAGCCTCGCCGCCTCCCTGTCAGCGGTGGCGTCTCGCTGAGCGCCAGGTGACCTGGGCTGACCGCAGTCGCCCTGAGTGGCACCTCCACCGCCCGCACCCAGCTGGGCCTGGGATGGCAGGGTCTGGGCAGCGAGGGGCGAGGCGGTGCGCGCCCGGGGGCCCGGAGCCCTGGGCACCCTGCCTTGTCTGGGGCCCAGCCGCAGGGCTGTCCCCCCGGCGGGACTGGCTGAGCCGCCGCTCCCGCGGCCGGCGGTCCCTCCCTCTGGCCTCGGCTCTGTTCTCAGCCAGGCCCTGCGGCCTCTTGGGGGCCCTGGGCCCACCCTGCACCCTGCCTCGGGGCCCGGCCTGGAGGTGCTGCGGCCACACCGGGGGGAGCTGGAGCCACGCTGCCGTCGGTCCCCCAGTGCCCGCAGCAGGCTCCAGGCTGCTGTGGGTGGCCCAGACCTGCGTCCAGGAGGCCCGGGCAGGCCCCGCCAGGGCGGGCCGGTCTGTGGGCGGTGGTGCAGCCGCCCCGGCTGAGGGCCGGGGAGCTGGGTGTCGGTTGTGGACATGCGGTTCTCCGCCTCCTCCCTCGGGCTGGATCCGCCAGACCTTCTCCCCGACAGCGGCGCCTCTGGCCGCCCAGCACCGTAGCCCGGCCCGCTGTCCTGCAGCCTGCGCCACCCCGCTGCCCCCGCTGGCCCCAGCGCCAGACGCCCCTGTCCAGCCTGGGAAGGGCCCTGGCTGTGGGCTCCGGGAGCCCCACCTGCCCCAGCCCGTGCCCCGCTGCTCAGTGCCTTCCTGTGCGGCGGCTGCACCCAGAGCCCAGCTCTGGCCCCCAGGGGTGCCTGGGAAGAGGCCAGGGCCAGTCTCAGCCTGCGCCAGGCCTTCCCGCCGGGTCCCACACCATGCTTGGGGGGCCTCCTGAAGGGGGGTGCTGCAGGGTGCCCACAGGTGTGGGGAAGGCCCCCAGGGGGGCTCCCCGCCCCCCCGGCCTCAGGCCCATCCTGGAGCGGGGTGTAGGGACACGGTGGGTCCTCAGCCAGGCCGCCCCCAGGCTCGGCAGCGCCAACGCAGGTCCGTGGCGCCGGGACTCGGCCCCAGACAGCCCGGGTCAGGGCCCGAGGGCTGCAGGGGTCTGGCGCCTGAGGCCCCTCAGGTGGTGCTGGGGTGCGGCCAGCAGGCTGCTGGCAGGGGGCACCACGCGCGGGCCTGGCTGCCCTCCGGATGGGCGAGCGGCCTCGCCTCCTGGAGGTGGGGCGCACCTTGGTCAGGGAGGCGCGGCCGCCCCCGCCCCCGCCCG